TCTTAAACATTAAACTTTTCAATGAAATAGAAAGGGAATCAGTACTTCCAAATTCATTCCTGGAAGCAAGTGTTAATTTGATTCCAAAACCAGCGAAAGACCCAACCAAAAAAAGAGAGCTACAGGCCCATCTTCTTAAGGAACATAGATGCAAAAATCCTTAATAAGATACTGGCAAACAGAATACAGAGGGTCATCAAGAAGATCATACATTCTGACCAAGTTGGATTTAGTGCAGGGATGCAAGGATGGTTTAACCTATGTAAACCAATAAGTGTAATACACCATATTAACAGAGCCAAGGACAAAAACCATATGATCATCTTGATAGATGCAGAAAAAGCATCTGACAAAATTCAACACCCATTCATGATAAAACCCTGCAAAAAATTAGAATAGATGGTCTATATCTCAACTTGATAAAGGCTATCTATGAAAAATCAATAGCCAACATCATATTAAATGGCCAAAAACTGAAAACCTTCACATTAAAATCAGGAACAAGACAAGGATGTCCACTATCACCACTCCTGTTCAATATATTTCTAGAAACATTAGCCACAGCAATTAGACAAGAGAAAGAAATTAAAGCAATAAAGATAGGATGGGAAGAAGTTAAACTGTCATTATTTGCTGACAATATGATATTCTACATTGAAGACCCAAAAAATTCCACCAAAAGACTTCTACACTTAATTGACACTTTCAGCGGAGTAGCTAGATACAAGGTCAACACTAAAAATCAATAGCCTTCTTGTACACAAATAACAGACTCACTGAGAAAGAAATTAGGGAAACAATTCCTTTCACAACAGCATCCAAAAAAATGAGGTATCTAGGAATCAACCTAACACAAGAAGCAAAAGACCTCTACACTGAAAGCTACAGCACTCTGAAAACAGAGATCAAAGAGAATATAAGAAAATGGAAAGACATCCCCCCCCCGCTCCTTGGTAGGAAGAATCAGCATAGTGAAAATGGCCATACTACCAAAACTGCTATACAGATTCAATGCAATGCCAATTGAAATTCCAACACTGCATTTCACAGAACTAGAAAAAATAATCCAAAAATTCAATTGGAACCAGAAGAGACCTAGAATAGCAAAATCCATTCTAGGCAACAGACACATGGCAGCAGTTATAACAATCCCCAATTTTAAACTATACCACAACGCCACTGTGATAAAAGCAATGGGCAAAGAAACGGACCTGAGGATCAGTGGAATAGATTGGCAAATACAGAAACAACTCCAGATATATTCAGCTACCTCACCTTTGAGAAAGGAGCCAACCATCCTCATTGGAGGAAAGATAGCCTCTTTAATAAATGGTGTTGGAAAAACTTGATTTCAACCTGCCAAAGATTAAAACTAGACCTGTATCTTTCACCATGCACTAAGTTAAAATCCAAGTGGATTAAAAAAGAGGCACTAAATCTAATGGAAGATAAGTTAGGCAGAACCCTTGAAGACATTGGCATAGGAAAAGACTTTATGAACAAACCCTCTATAGCATGGGAACTGGCACAAAGAATCAACAACTGGTATCTCAGCTTTTAAAAAGCTTCTGCACTGCAAGAGAAGCCACCAACAGAGCTAAAAGACAACCTACAATGTGGGGAAAAAAATTTACCAGATGTTCTTCAGACAAAGGGCTCTTATCTAGAATGTATAAAGAACTCAAAGTATCAGGCCCTCCAAATATAAAGACCTGATTAAAAAATGGGCATCTGAAATGAACAGATTTCTCAGACAAATAAATATGTGAAAAAAATGTTCAACACTACTGGTCATTAGAGAGATGCAGATGAAAACAACACTGAGATTTCACCTCACCCCAGATAGAATGGCTGCTATCAAGAATTCAACCAATAATAAATGTTGGTGGAGCTGTGGAGAGAAAGGAACACTTCTCCATTGTTGGTGGGAGTGCAGACTCGTGCAACCACTATGCAAATCTATATGGAGATACCTCAAAGAAGTAGGGTTAGAGGTTCCATTTGACTCAGCTATCCCTCTTCTGGGTATCTTTCCAAAAGAATTAAAAGAATCACACCACAGTGATATATGCTCACCCATATTTATAGCAGCACAGTTTGTAATAGCCAAAACTTGAAAACAGCCCAATTGCCCATCAATTATATTTCTAGAAACATTAGCCACAGCAATTAGACAAGAGAAAGAAATTAAAGCAATAAAGATAGGATGGGAAGAAGTTAAACTGTCATTATTTGCTGACAATATGATATTCTACATTGAAGACCCAAAAAATTCCACCAAAAGACTTCTACACTTAATTGACACTTTCAGCGGAGTAGCTAGATACAAGGTCAACACTAAAAATCAATAGCCTTCTTGTACACAAATAACAGACTCACTGAGAAAGAAATTAGGGAAACAATTCCTTTCACAACAGCATCCAAAAAAATGAGGTATCTAGGAATCAACCTAACACAAGAAGCAAAAGACCTCTACACTGAAAGCTACAGCACTCTGAAAACAGAGATCAAAGAGAATATAAGAAAATGGAAAGACATCCCCCCCCCGCTCCTTGGTAGGAAGAATCAGCATAGTGAAAATGGCCATACTACCAAAACTGCTATACAGATTCAATGCAATGCCAATTGAAATTCCAACACTGCATTTCACAGAACTAGAAAAAATAATCCAAAAATTCAATTGGAACCAGAAGAGACCTAGAATAGCAAAATCCATTCTAGGCAACAGACACATGGCAGCAGTTATAACAATCCCCAATTTTAAACTATACCACAACGCCACTGTGATAAAAGCAATGGGCAAAGAAACGGACCTGAGGATCAGTGGAATAGATTGGCAAATACAGAAACAACTCCAGATATATTCAGCTACCTCACCTTTGAGAAAGGAGCCAACCATCCTCATTGGAGGAAAGATAGCCTCTTTAATAAATGGTGTTGGAAAAACTTGATTTCAACCTGCCAAAGATTAAAACTAGACCTGTATCTTTCACCATGCACTAAGTTAAAATCCAAGTGGATTAAAAAAGAGGCACTAAATCTAATGGAAGATAAGTTAGGCAGAACCCTTGAAGACATTGGCATAGGAAAAGACTTTATGAACAAACCCTCTATAGCATGGGAACTGGCACAAAGAATCAACAACTGGTATCTCAGCTTTTAAAAAGCTTCTGCACTGCAAGAGAAGCCACCAACAGAGCTAAAAGACAACCTACAATGTGGGGAAAAAAATTTACCAGATGTTCTTCAGACAAAGGGCTCTTATCTAGAATGTATAAAGAACTCAAAGTATCAGGCCCTCCAAATATAAAGACCTGATTAAAAAATGGGCATCTGAAATGAACAGATTTCTCAGACAAATAAATATGTGAAAAAAATGTTCAACACTACTGGTCATTAGAGAGATGCAGATGAAAACAACACTGAGATTTCACCTCACCCCAGATAGAATGGCTGCTATCAAGAATTCAACCAATAATAAATGTTGGTGGAGCTGTGGAGAGAAAGGAACACTTCTCCATTGTTGGTGGGAGTGCAGACTCGTGCAACCACTATGCAAATCTATATGGAGATACCTCAAAGAAGTAGGGTTAGAGGTTCCATTTGACTCAGCTATCCCTCTTCTGGGTATCTTTCCAAAAGAATTAAAAGAATCACACCACAGTGATATATGCTCACCCATATTTATAGCAGCACAGTTTGTAATAGCCAAAACTTGAAAACAGCCCAATTGCCCATCAATTGGAGACTGGATAAAGAAGATGTGGTTTTTCTATAAAAGGGAATACTACTCAGCCATAAAGAATGAGAAAGTAGAATCATTCATAAGAAAATGGGTGCATATTGAGGTCACACTCTTAAATGAAATAAATAAGTCACACATGTGTAAATACCAAATAGTTTCTCTAGTGTGAAAAACTAAAAGTGTAAATAAGGTCTAAATGGTATGATTGATAATTTGAAATAGGAAGAAAAGGGCTAAAGATGTAGGGAGAAGTGGGAAGGATAGAGGAAAGGAAATAAAGGAAAAGAAAAAATATGAGAAAATGAAAAAATGGAAAAAAAGTTTTGTAAATAGGTTAGTGGGTGGATGAAGGGAGGGCAGGGGTATGAGAAAAAAATGAGAACCAAGACCTGTCATGTAAAGGTGCAAGATCCCAATGATGAATGTAACTATACTGTATACCTAAAAATTACCAATAAACACAATGAGAAAAAAAAAATTTTAATTACCTATTCTAGCCAAGGGGAACAGGGAATGTTTGGTCAGCAAAGCTAACAGTGGTTCTTTTCATTTACAAAACTTTTGAGGGAGACTAGTTGCCTCCAGTGTCAGTTAATTCTGAACTAAACAGAGCAAAGGGCAGAAGTTATCTTACATTGTGACATTTTTTAGGGTTTTTGGTATTAAAGTTTTCCCTATCATTGTTGCACTTACGTATGCTTTTCTGGCATTGTGAGTCTTTGTTTACAACCATACAAGTGGCTGGCACTCAGGTCATGACAGAAGACTTTAGTTAAAAGTTAAGACTAAAATTCTGGTTGTAAAGCAAGTTGTTCATATGTGAGGTTGGTCGTTCCTTGAAAGTCCACCATATTATTACCCAGTTGTCCTCACAACTGAGCTCTGTCTTTGAGCAAGCACTGTGCCAAAAGGGCAAAGATATCTTAACATGGAAAGATTTTCACTAGACTCTTTGAGATACCCTCCTTCTCTGAATATGTTTATAAATAAAATTTTAATTTCATTGCTTCACTGGAATATTTCAATTGATGTGGAGGGTGGGCAGTGGGAGAGGGAGAAGAGAAGAAGAAAGAGAGGATCTTATTTCAATCAAATTTGCTCACATTATTAGATAGTCTTTTATAATTTTGGCTTTGAAATATCTTCTGATATCTCTGATTATTTCACAAGATGCCATAAAGTTTAACCCACATCCCCCAAGTGTTGAAGCATGTGTAGAGGGCTGTTAAAACACTCTCTGTTTTTCTTTTTCCAGAATAGCACCATGCCAAACTACAAACTGATGTATTTTAATATGAGAGGAAGAGCAGAAATTATTCGTTACATATTTGCTTATTTGGACATAAAGTATGAAGATCACAGGATCGAAGAAGCTGACTGGCCTGAAATCAAATCAAGTAAGTAGCATAAATTCCATTTCACAAATATTTAGAGAAAATAAGCTTTTAGAGCTGATTGCCTTTCCGGAGGGAAATGAAAAAGAAAAATAAAGGTTTTTCAGCCTTACATAAGTTTTCCAGTCTTATATAGCTTTAGACTGAGAAGTGGAAGTTCAGAAAAACTAAATAAATGCTATGTGACTCAGCAAATTTTCTCTTACAGGTGAAAACACAAACCTCACAGAAAAATAAAATAAAAATAAACCAGTACAAACTTTGTCAGAAGAGCTGAAATGGATATGGTACATATTATTGTTTCTATTTTATAGTTGGGATAAAATGCACACGGTTTAGGCCATTTTTCCAGTTAGACACTATGGCAAGTAAAGCTAAATTTCAAACCAGATCCATTTCATGCCATGGCCCAAATGATTAACACTAGACAATGCTAGTGACCTTAATACTATATATGATAACTGGCATATTGACAGTAAATTACCACATGCCTTTTGGAAATGTGAGTCCTTTATATGTTGTTTGTACTTTCTCCTGTTTCTTCATTGATTCTGATCAGTCTTATGTTATTTATTCTTCTTTGCATCATCTAGCAGCTGCTGGATCGATTTCTCATGGTCCCTTACTATTTTAAAAAATTTGTTTTCCTGGTCACTAATTGCAATCCTGTCTTCTGCATCTGATATTCTGTCCTCACTTTGGCTCATTCTACTGCATAGACTTTCAATGGAGTTTTTAAGCTCCTGGATATCTGTTTGCATCTGTTTCCATTTGTAGTCTATGCTGAGATTCCATCATGTTCCTCAGCTCATCTATTTTTTTGTCTGTGTCTGCTCTAGAGTTATTAATCATGTCTTGCACTATGGACACAATCTCTGCTGTTATCTGAGAAATTATTTCTAATTTTATTTTTTCCAGATCCTCTTTTTTTTTTTTTTTTTTTGGTACTGGGGATTGAACTTGGGTCCTTGTGCTTGCAACACAGGCCACCAAACCACTGAGCTAAATCCCCAGCTCCAGATCCTCTTTTGTTGCCAGTATAGGGAGTCCAGGTGGTTGAGTATCAAATTGTTCCATCTCATTTCCCTTTGGGGTTGCCTTAGGTGATCTGGAAGTCTGGTTTTGAGACTTGTTTATGTGTCTTCTCATTTCAACAGATGCAGCCTGCTGTGCCCTTGTGAAGCAAATTTTTGCTCACCCAGTGGTCTTCAATTCTCAGCAAGCCACTGAGAAACCTTTCCTCTGCTGCTCACCATTGATTAATTCCTGGGTTCAGAGTGGTGGCCTTCTGGATCCCCACACTGCCCTGTTGTCTGGGTGGGGTTTGGGCTGGGGCCTGTTCACACATGGGATAGTATCTGGCTGTTGCTTGTACACCATTGAAGCTCTTTTCCAGGTGGGCCTTTTGCTGGGGCCTGTGGGCCCAAGCTACTGGGATCAGGGGCAGAGCCCTGGATGGGACCTCATAAGTTCCTTATAAATCATTTTTCTTAGCAGTAATCTTTCCTCTGGAGGAAAATATGATCTTATTTCTTATTCTCAGACTACCACTGACAGCCAAATGTTTATTCTGATATCAGAGTTCACACACGGGATGTTAGGACAGTGGACACATAATATCAAACATTCATTTTTATTCACTCATTAGAACAAATGGATAGCAAGCTGCAGGGATATTGTATATAATTTTTTTCCATTGCATTTTTAAATTCAGTCTTTATAGTTTCAGTTTTTCTTTGAGTGCCTCAGACCATATTTTACCTTGACTTCTCGTTGTTCTTGAAAAATGAAATGTCTGCATTTTCTTAATATTTTCAGAGATTCTTAGAGTTGAAAGGGATCTTAAAGGTCGAAATGGTTAAGATAATTTTAAATGCTTTAATAAGCAGAGCTGCAACCTAAAATTATCTTAAAGCAGTTAGTAATTTCTGTGACGTGAAACCCCCGGTATAAATGACTTTAATCCATGAAGTTGTTAAAGGGTAGGCTGCTTCTTTCTAGTTAATGCATCAACCTCTTTGTCTTATTTATTCAGGGCAAAATAGTGCTCCTTCTACCTTCTAATTCAAGGGAATGGTGAAAGGGGGAGGGGCACAACCCTTTTCTGTTATTATCAAGACCAGAAAGCTGTGTGTATCACTTTTGGTTCGCATTACTTTGGCAGAATCTTAGTCATGCACTCCACATGCCTGAAAGAAAGCTGGGACTTTCTTGTAGATAACTGTTTGCTCAGATAAAAATTTGGGGTTTTATTATTTTGAAAAGCTCTTTCTATTACAAATGTCATTTGGTATTATCTATCTCCCTTCCAATTCAGCTATGCTCATTAGTATTCAAAACCCTCTAGGTCTAGGATATTCCCTTTGCTAAAGAACCCAGAACTAAATCCCAAGTCAACACATTCTATCATTGCATATTTCTAGTCAACAGTTCTTCCTGGCTAAACCTTGAATATTGTGCACATGTATCTACATTTTCTCTTTTAATAACATTCAAGTATTTTTTTTGGGGGGTACTGGGGATTGAACTTGGGACCCTGCACTTGCAAGGCAGGCTGCAGAATCACTGGATACTTTTTTATTAAAAGGTAAAGCCCCACAAGGACAAAGAAAACAAGCTGATGAAAAATTGTGGAAGCTAGGAAGCAAATCAAAGGAAGATAAGATGACTTAGCAAGCCTGTTTTGATGGGTGATTGTGTCAATTTAGGTAAGAGAAGCTCAAATAAAATTGGCTCAGCAATTCCACACCCAAAGGTTTGGAAGACTCACCCTAAGGGCAGCTGGTCACCTGGATGGTATAAAGGGGAAATGAAGAAGGAAGAATCTACTTAATGTTTCTTCCGAGGAGCTCCGGTCTTTGCCTTCACCTTGAGCATCATCTCCTGCTTTCCAGTGCAGAATCATCAGCTTCTGGTGCAGATTCTTCAGCCTTGCAGCCTGGACTCTCCAGTGTTCCATCACAAACCCATTATCCTCTTTATACAGACTTACATGGAACAACACAGTGAGCTCTAGACTTTTAACTTTATCCTTTAGATCTGCACTCTTCTCCACTGAACTCTGTGGGTGGCCATTGTAAGCGAATCTTGTAAATTCATATATAATTGTATATATTGTATTGTATTTGTTTCTCTAGTAAACACTGACTGATCACACCCAGCAATCTCAAACATTAGCTTGGAAGAGAAAAAGCAAACTGAATCTTTCCAGAGATGCTTGAAAGGCTTCGGAATTAGGAAAAACGCACCTCTGGATGCTGAGCTGACAGGAATTGACTGGAAGAAGAACACAAAGAAGCAATGTGACCACCAGATCTCATCCCCTTCCTGAATGAAGCATGGAGGGGTGGACCGAGATTTTCTGAGACAGCTGCAATGGTGGAAGACAAATGGTACAGTTGGGATTCAGTGGGCTGCAGATGTAGCTCGGTGACTGCATACCATATATGAGGCTGTGGGTTCCATGCCCAGCACTGCAAAAATAAAATAAAATAGAAATGGGATTTAGTGGAAGTCTACAAAGTGGTGAGATCCATACCCACTTTCCCTTGTTCTAAAACTACAATGTTGTAAACAGGCTAATATCCCTCAGGCAAAAACTGAAGGAATTCTCTCTGGAGAAACTGAACAGTCCATGAGAAATGTCCAGTAGATACTGAACCAGTGGGGGAGGGTGTCTCTCAAAGAAATGGCCCATTTCCCTGTCGAGAAGCCACTCTTGTGTACATGGAGAACACCACCCAGTAAGCACTTATTTCTTTGCCTTTTGAACAAGAATGTCAAGACAAAAACCAGTATATATTTGAGGATAGTTTCCAATATGAAAGAGACCTAAATAAAAAAGCAGGAAAAAAGCACTTCTGGAGAAACTAAGATGATTTAATGAAAAAAAATCTTAGAAAATACTGTAAAGTTCTCAGAGAGAAAAGATATTTTATGCATGAAACAAGAACAGGATTCTATAAAAAGAGATGCATGCAAGCACATTTAAAAAAAAATTAAAATATGATATAAACAAAACCATAGGTGTAATGATAAAAATAAGGAAATTTTCCCAGAAAGTACAAAGAAAATAGAAAAATAAAAGAAGAAAGATAATTAAAATCAAGAATCAACCAATTTAGGAGTTCCAATTTCCAAATCAAGTTTTGGGAATAGAAAACAAATTGGAAGAGAAACAAACTTTTAAAGGAATCTTTCTCATACAACATTGAAATCTGGGGCTGAGGATGTAGGTCAGTGGTAGAGTGCACTTGCCTACCATGCACAAAGTACTGGGCTTGATCACCAGCATTGGAAGAAAGTTAAATGTGTCATCTATGGCTTTCATATATTGGTTTTAGATGTATCATTTCAATGACTGGAGAACACATTATTCCTTCTTTTACATCTAAATATCTGAGGAATTTTGATTCCTTAAAATCATCATAGGGGAAAAGACACAGAAGAGTGGTCAGTTCAATAAAAACATTCTGAATGAAAATAAGGGTCTCTGGCAGAATTCAAAATTGGATGTCCAGTTAGCTCATGCAGCTGTACTTTACTTAGATAACAGCTTTTGGAACTTCCTGTTTTGATCATGATTGTGAATACTATGTCCCATGGACTGAGAGCTGCAATCACACCCAGATGCAAGGGACAATTTTCCTTTCTCAAGAGTTCCAAGTATCCCCTGGCTTGCTCTTCTTAGCATCTAAGAAGGTGCTCTCTTAAGAAGCTCCTGCTGCCTTAAGTCACTACATGGTGTGTGGTGCCTATATAAAAGCATAATGTTCCATGCACACGGACCGCACACAGTGGAACAGAACGATCACCCTGCCACCAGTCGGGGTTATCTATAGAAAAAGAACCAGTAGAATGTATATATAAGAGGGAATTTACTAGATGGACTTACATGATTAGAGGCTGGGCCCACAATGGCTGTCTGTAAGCTGCAGCACCAGGGAAACCAGTAGCCATTTGGTCTAAGAAGCTGACAGCCTCAGAACACGAAAAACAAGGATGCAGTCCTAGTCGCAGGCTGAAGACATCCCCTGGAGAGTCAGTCACTGGTGGGAGTTCACATTCAATGCTGAAGAATCAGGAGTTTGATATTCTTAGGCAATGGTGGCACAAAAACACACACTGGCTCAAGAAGAACTGAGCTTATGTGCTCCTGCATGTTCCTCCCTTCCTCCACTGTTCCATTCTGTCCAGATCCCTAGGCTTTGCACAGTGCTGCCCACACTGAGGGCAGGTAGTCTTTCTTCCATCTGCGGACCCACCTGCCATCCAGTTCTAGAAACACCCTCAAAACACATTCAGAGCTTTGCCTTACCAACCTACTGGGCTCTCTTGAGCCAGTCAACTTAATGATTTGGTTTAACAATCACAGCCCCTATCGCAAGTCTAGACATTCTTCCAAGATATTTTAGCAGGACTACACCAGTTATTTTGAATCAGTGGCCTCAGATTCAGTGTCACTGAATTCCTTGAAGCTTTCTGACAGATGCTTCCGTTAAGGGACACCTCCAACCACGTTGGAACTATGACCGTTTTTTTCTGGAACCAAATGAGGAACCCAGCATTTGTCTTCTTCAATTTCTTCTTACTGAATGCAGATGATGTTTCTTCTATTGGCAATCATCCCAGTGTTGGGCCAAATATTTCCCTGGCTGAGGGCTGTCTCTTAAAGAAAGCACATTTCATGGTCAATAATTCTAATGTTAACAAATTTAGTCTTCTCTCCGAGTTAAAAATCTGCATTTTCCCCCTGTTACTTTTTGTTTCCTGTTCTAAATTCTAGATCTAGTAAGAATAAGTGGAATTTTTCTTCCATTTAATGACTCTTCCATATTTGAAGATGCATATTAACTTTCATTTAGTTTCTTTTATCTCCTGCAGGTGAAATGTGTCAAGTTTCCCCAGCTAATTCCCATAAAATGTGGTTTCCAGACCCCTATTTTCTAAGCTTGCTTTTTAATATATTTCTCAATGTATGGCTCTCAGGTCTATTAAAATAACTAAGTATGGGTTCCATCTTACCTTAGTTTGAATCTTAATTCTACCAGGTGTGAGACCTGGGCAATTTACATAAAGCCTCTTAACATTATTTCCTCATTTATAAAATGAGATAATGATTAATACCTACTTTATGTGATTGTAAATATTGAAAAACTAATGCGCATGTTAAATATGTAGTACTATCCCTAGCACAAAGGAAGCCCTCCCTTGCCCAAAGAGAAGCGTACTAACACGCTCTTGTTCAAATATGGCATCCCAGGGTCTGTCAGCTTTATTTGGGACTCTCTGTGTTGCTCCCTATGGTATCTCAGCCAAAGTGTCAACTACAATTATAGGTATTAATCATTAGTCAAAGATGCTTTTAGTCATATGTAGTGATATACCTATGATTCTAGTTACTTGGGAGGTTGAGGCAGGAGGACTGAAAGTTCAAGGCCAGTCTGGACAATTTCATGACTCAGTAAGAACTTATCTCAAAATATAACACAAAAAAGGCTGTGGTTGTAGCTCAGTGGCAGAGTATCCGCAGAACATGTATAAAGCCTTCGATCCTAAGTATTACCAAAAAAGTTGTTTTATATTCCGGATATAAACTATCATTCATCTTACATTTATTCAGTATGAAAATGAAAGACTTAAACACCACACACAAGATTGATTTCAGCACTTGTGTGTGGGTTCTGAATGGCACTTTATTCCTTTCCTTCTTTCCTAAATAATTTCTGGTTGGGAAAATTGTGGACAGTACACACAGCAAAATTATGAAGTCATTAAAATAATGGAGTTTTGTTAATTTAAAAAAATTTTTAAAGTGGAAAAAGGTTTACAAATATTATATACATTATGATTTAGTATTTTAATATATGTGAAAAAATCTTTTTAAATAGTTATAACTATGTGGTAGAATTATTTTCAATTTATACTTTTTCTATAATAAATGTAGATTGGTTTGTGACAAAAAATATAATAGGTTTAGATAAGGAAATAAAGTAGGGTTTGCTGAGAAACTATGAAAATGGTATATGCTATGAGTCTGTCTTATAGAAAAATGCCTGCTGTCTTGCTGTATATTTCAAATAGTTCTTTATCAAATGAAGACTTTGCTCAATTTTATTTTACCATGACTCATACATAAATCAAACACATAATAATTAATGTGTCATGCTTTTGAGGCCACAAAATTAATGAAGATTTTAAAAATAGGAGTGCTAGGCATTTAGCTCAGTGGTGCCATGCCTACCTCGCAAGCGCAAGGTCCTGAGTTCGATCCCCAGTACCAAAAAAAAAAAAGTAGTTTTTTTTTTTTTTTTAAATAAGTAAGGTGGGGATTTGGGGATTTAGCTCAGAGGTGCCCCCTCCCAAATGTAAAGACTGGAGTTCAATCCCCAGTGCAAAAAAAAAAAAAGTTAAAGTCTGAGACAATATATAGTATTATATATAGTATATTATCACTATAAACCTGGATGTTAGAACCAGTCTTGTCAGTAACTTTTTATCCAGTTTTCTAAATCTTTTTAACTTATAAAATGTAAAGATTTCACTTGAGGTTGTCAAATGTCCCTCTGAAGAATGCATATTTAAGAATTCTATAATTTTTAAAATCATGCTTTGTAACCATGAAAGATTCTAAAATTAGCTGTAAAAATGGACATACCGTAAGTCTTGGTTCTGGTAGTAAACTGACTCTGCTCATTTTATTTGAAGCTCTACCATTTGGCAAAATTCCCGTTTTGGAAGTTGATGGACTTCTGCTTCACCAGAGCCTGGCAATAGCAAGATACCTGACCAAAAACACAGGTAACGTATTTATTCTGGCTAAGATATGTGATAACTGGAAAAACAATCATCTGAAACACATTCAATATTCATTAAATAACTTTTGAACATGGAAGCACAAATAAGAATGGAATTAAATGCTAGAGCTGTGTATTGATCAACTTTCCAATCAATGAGACACAATAGCTGATACTCTTAAAAGAACTTAGAAGAAGAAAGGTCCTATTTAGGTCATGGTTTCAGGGGAATTGGTACATGATTGGTAGGCTCCAACAGAAATATCACAGTGAAAGGAGATGGCAGAACAAAACCACATAACTCATGGCGGCCAGGAAGTAGATCAAGGGAACAATTCCAGAGAATGGGTGAGGGACCAGTATAGTGACTCACCCAGAAACACCCAGGAGTGTGCTTTACTAATCTGCTAGGTGCTTCTTAATCCAAAGGATTTGACACATTGGGATTCATGGTCTCAAGCAATATAATTGTACTGTCTATATCACTGTAACTTTCTGTGTGTCCCTAAAACATCCAGACAATTATATTTTGTGCTTCTCCCTGCTCTCTCTGCCCCATACCTCTTTGCCTCCTATTCCTGAGCTCTTTTTGCAATTTAGCTGAAAAACTGGATAGATGTGTCTCACCCCAACGTTTTGCTGGTATGAGTATTATAAACTGTGAGAAAAAGTTAACCAGCCAGAAATATATGTGGCACATGAAGGTTAAATTTTCTTAGGCTATTAAAATTATGCACTCAATGGTGTCCTTCCTTTTAATCATGCTGATAAAAAAGAAAAGGAGGTTGGTCTGCACTGAGTGCCACCTAAAGGATCTCGAATGGGTGTTTGGACTCTGGATTGTATTTTTACTGGCTGCATGCATAGCATGAATGAGAAATAAAAAGCTTAGTTTTTGGCTTTGCTGAATGCCCTTTCTCTCATCCTATGTTCCATTGTCTACTTCCATTTCCTACTTTTCTCACACACTTTAAAAAAAGTAAAACCCTACCTTTGTCTTCTACTAAAGCTCCATTCTTTCTTATCCAATTCACTGTTACCTAAATGGGCCTAATTCTTAGACTTTGATTTTTAGGACAAAGTCATGTACATTAAAAATGCAAATGCCAAGCCAGGTGTGGTGGTGCACACCTGTAATCCCAGCACTCGGAAGGCTGAGGCAGGAGGATCGCTGTTCGAGACAAGCCTGAGCTACATAGTGAGTGCCAGGTCAGTCTCAACTACATAGTGAGACCCTGTCTCAAAAAAAAAAAAAATGCAAATGCCTAGCACATGGGGCACTTGCCTGTAACTCCAGTGGCTTAGAACCCTGTCTCAAAATCAAAAGTGCAAGGGGGCTAAGGATATAGCTCAGGGCAAAGGCCCTAGGATCACTTGCCAGTACTGACAAAGCAAAACAAAAACAAAAAACCTGAGTTACACTACCACGAACTGTATTTCAAGTGAAGTTTTCTCTAAGATTAGGAGAAATGGAAATTATTTTTGACAATGGAAATTTCCTTGAAAGTGAAATTTGAATTCAGCCTTAAAGGATGCCTCAGATTTCAAGAGGAAGACACACCCTGTTTCCCTGAAAATAAGACCTACCTGGAAAAAATCAGCCTTGAAAACTAGAGATGAGAAATGCCAGCCCCAAATTGCCTTGCCTTATCTGCCATTACAGAGCAGCCACCAAGGAAGAGAGTAGTGAAATATGATTGGCAGGACACTGGCTATCACTGTGATAAGGGCCAGCAATTATTTTCCCATTAGATTGTATTTTCTGGGAAACCTGGAGTTTTTCAGGCTTCGGTGCATCAGGATCACGTGGAGGCTCATCAGACATATTTTCTTCCACCTTGACTCCAGAGACTGATGCAGTAGAACTGGAGAGTCCAAGAACTGGCATTCTTGGCAATTTCCTAGATGATACTGATGCCTCCACTCATGGGCCTCACTTTGGGAGTCCCTGGGAGAACATTCCAGGCAGAGAGGTAAAGGCAGGAGAAAAAGAAATGAACTTTGTGCAGGGCAGAGGAACCAAAGAGAAACCCTTAGAAATAAGGTATAGAAAGACCCAGAGGATGGATATTATTTTTTAAACAAATGTAGGTTTTTAATATTTTCTTTTTGTATTTGGAAAAGCTGAATAACTATGTAGGAGTTGATGGGACTTTCTGACCATGCTCTGTAGCCAACTGGCCCAGCTGCAGGAAAGTCCAGATGCATCAGAAAACAGAGGGAATGAGCACATGAGAGAGTTTGTGAATGTGGGAACATGTTACGGACTCAAAGATAGTTGTTGGCACAAGAGAAAAAGGGTGGGGAGAACTGTGGCTTGGACATGGTTTTCTTTTTTCTCTCTTGCTCTGTCTTCTATTTTTAGTACTAGGGATTGAACACAGGGACTTTGCGCTGAGATACATTCCTACCCCCCACCTTTTTTCTTGCTTATTTTGCAATAGGATCTCATTTCTAAATTTCCCAGGCCGGGCTTATACTTGCAGTCTTCCTGCCCCAGCCTTCCAGAGTTCAGGGGTTACAGGTATGTGCCACCATACCTGGGGTGGTTTTCATTCTTCTGGCACCATATATTACTACCTTTTCTCTTCCTCCTGTTTTGCTTTGCATTTTTCAACTTACCTCCACTTGAAATGTTCTCTTTCCTGTCTGCCTTCTCTAGTCTAGTCTTTAGTGTCTTTTATTCAGGGCCACAGCAGCTCTTGGGGCTGACACAAAGCTGAAGCCTGAAAATAATTGTTGGATGAAAAGGAAGAGGTAGGGCTCTGAGGTAGGGTGTGGTAACTCCACTGAGAATTTGCTGAGGAAGACTGAGAAACTCAGGTAATACTCAGAGACAGTCTGAGGACATGGGCCTGCCAATTAGGGCTAAAAATATCAAATGAAGAGTCATCTGTGAAAGAAACCAGCACCTACCAAAGATCACTCCGCACACTGACAGAGCTCCTATGAGAGCTTTATTGTAGAGCCGCTGCTGTAGAGTAGGCACAATGGCCTACTCAGCACAGGAGGAAGAAGAGAAAGAGCTGGGTGGAAGGGGCTTGGTTATATAGCGATGGCTGGTGTAAGGGGTTGGGGAGTTGCATCAGCTGCTTGGGAAGCCACTCAGGGGTCATTATTTGTGATCCATTCCTTATATGGACAAGCCTTGCTCATCAGTTTCACTTACAGACGTTGATGCATGATGTGGGAAATGGAAACTTCAGGTATAAAATGGCGGTCACTAACAAACATGGCGACAGCCATAGCAAGGCAGTTAGCTTATAATCTGTGTAATTTTGATAACTAAAGCATTCAGCATGGAAGCCGAAGTAGGAATGACAAGGAGTGGGAAGAACTTACAGACTCTGAGGGATATTTACAGCTCAGAAAGAATAAATCTTTTGAATAGTCACACAAAAAATAGTGTACAGCTAAACTTTGTGAATAAAGCATTTTTTTCACTTTTAATAACTTTTTGAGGTATAATTTACACACGGGTTGACCATTCTCTTTATTCTTTGATTTTTCAATATAAATTAGTCCTTGATTTTTCAATAAGTTGAAGTCAGGACCTTGCACTTTTGAGGAAGGCACTGAGCTAAATCCCCAGCAAATGAGTTATTGAATCAATGATTAACAAATGGTGGGAAAGAAATGATTTTTTTTTGGGTACTGGAGATCGAAAAATTCAAAACAGAAATAATTTCCCAGATAACCATAGAGATAGTGAGCAAAATGAAAGTCGTGATTCAAGACTCTAGAGCAGAAAATGACAAAAAAATAGATGAACTCAGGACCATGATAGAAGCCATGAAGTCCTAGCATAAGAAAGAAATGGAAAAAATAAATGCCCAACACAGGGAAGAAATGGAATCCATAAAACAGATTCAAACAGATATCCAGGAGATTAAACACTCCATTGAAAGTGTATGCAACAGAATAAAAGAATGCAAAGATAGACTCTCAGATATACAGGATAAGAGTGCAGTCAGTGACCATGAAAAGAGAGGTCTCTTAAAGACAGTAAGGGATCATGAGAAATCGATCCAACAACTCCTAGATGATGCAAAGAAGAACAACATAAGACTGATAGGAATCCATGAAGTAGCAGGAGGAAATACAAATGACTTAAAAAAGCTGTTCACAGAATTAATGACAGAAAAATTCCCAAACAGAGGGGAAGAATTTGACATTCAGATAACTGAGGCATATAGGACCCCAGCTATCTACAATAAAAAAATAATCTACACCTAGACATATAATAATCAAGATCCCAGAAACCCAACAGAAGAACAAAATACTACAAGCAGTAAGAGAAAAGAAACAAATCACATGCAAAGGACAGCCCATCAGAATCACAGCAGACTTTTCAACACAAACCCATGGGGCAAGGAGAGCCTGGAGTGAGATATTTCAAGTAATAAAAGAGAACAAGCTCCGACCTAGACTGATGTATCCTGCAAAACTCTCTTTCAAAATGGATAGGGACATAAGACACTTCCACGACAAAGAACACCTGAGAAGCTACATGAATACCAAACCAGCACTACAAGCAATTCTAAACAAGATCCTAGAAAAAGACAATGAAGGCAAGAACACCATGAGGCCCAACAGAGCAAATCAAATAGGCAAGGCAAGAAACTAAAAGGAGAAGCTGAAAAAGTAAAAAGAGTCAACAAAAGGCCATAACAGGACAATAATAAGTCAGTACATATCAGTTATAACCATCAATGTCAGTGGTCTCAACTCACCAATCAAGAGAAATAGACTGGCAGAATGGAATAAGAAGCAAAATCTAACAATATGTTGTATACAAGAAATACACCTAGTGCAAAAAGAAGCCCATAGACTGAAAGTGAAAGGATAGAAAACAATTCTCCATGTGACAGGAGCCCAGAAAAAAGCAGGGGTAGCAATCTTCTTTGCAGACAAAGCAACTTTCAAACCAAAACTGATTCTAGTATTATTGATGTAGGATGGTACTGTATCATACCTCTGTGAATGTAAAATAGCTTGTATCTGCTTTATGATACATAGTAGTGACCGTGCTTTATCAGGAAAGGATAGAAAACAATTCTCCATGTGACAGGAGCCCAGAAAAAAGCAGGGGTAGCAATCTTCTTTGCAGACAAAGCAACTTTCAAACCAAAACTGATTCTAGTATTATTGATGTAGGATGGTACTGTATCATACCTCTGTGAATGTAAAATAGCTTGTATCTGCTTTATGATACATAGTAGTGACCGTGCTTTATCAGAGCTATATTTAATGATATTACTCTAGAATTTCTCTTTACAGATGATGATTAAGATGCTAATAAAAAAATGGTGGCAGGTACCACAACAGCAACAGAACTTTGCTGTTTTCTGGATATTATTCTTTTCTTTGGTTTTTTGTTTTGTTTTGTTTAATGGAATGTGCTGAATGTCTATAACTCTGTTCAGATGACTGCAGAACCTGGAAAAGCTGTTGCTGCTATTGATGTATAACATGCTGCTATTATTAGTCTTTTTATATAAATATAAATATATATATATATATTGAATTTTGGGAAACTTTATCAGTGCTGTCAACTTTGGAAAAAGTTATCCCAATTTACTGTGTTGAGTTGGCATTGTACAGAAATGGACAGCCATATTGTTCTAGAAATGTTAATTTTTTGAGTTTTATTTTTTATTTTTTTCCATGTGTACAGGGGTATTGCATTGTACTAAATATGTAAGGTCATATCTATGTGGGTTTGATTACAGAAACTAATAAAATATTCTCTAAATAATGAAAAAAAGAATAAGATAAGACTACAAGAGCAAAAAGCAATTTAAATATGTTAAGGGACTATTTTTCTCTCCAGAATTAAGGATTATTTTAATGTTACATCATTGCCTTTTCTCTTTTACTTTCTTTTTTAGCTTTATTTTAGGATTCCCTATTTTTAATGTTCATACAGAGATTTCTTTAACTGAAATACCGAATAGTTTCTCTGGTGTGGAAAACTATAATAGTACACAGGATCCTAATGAGATAATTAATAATGTGAAATAGGAAGTAAAGGGCTAAAGGTGTAGGGAAAGTGGGAAGGGTGGGGGAAAGGTAATAAGGGAGAGGAAAAAAATATGAGAAATTGAAAAAATGGAAATAAAGTGTTTGTAAATGGGGAGGGGATGAGGGGGTGAAGGGAGGGCAGGGACAAGGGGAAAAAATGAGAATGAAGACCTGTCATGTAAAGGTACAGGATCCCAATGATGAATGTAACTGTACTGTATACCTAGATTGTACCAATAAATTCAATAAAAAGAAAAATAATAAATTGTAACAAAACTACCTTAAAAAGGAACCATGTGGCTGCACTTTAGGTACTTGTAAGAAAAGATCTCTTCGATATATGATATATGAGGTAAAGAGGCACATCTAGTGGAATATATTATCTTTTACTTGTGTTTTCATACACAGTAGAAGAATTCACAAGAGTGTATTAGTTGATAAGAGTGACTAGTTGATAAGATAGGTAGGTGAAGGAGTAAATGGGGTAGATGGGGATGGGTAGAAAGGCAGGTTTTGAATTTGCAGCCCCATGAATGTCTTTGCCTAATGCAGGAAGTTAAACCAAGTCTTACAGCAAAAATGACCTCTCTCTGTTCCACAGATTTGGCTGGAAAGACAGCAATGGAACAGTGCCAAGCTGATGCCCTTGTGGATACCCTGGATGATTTCATGTCGTGTTTTCCTTGGGCAGAGAAAAAGCAAGAAGTAAAGGTAACGTGACCAGTTTGCTGTCACTCCTACTATCATATCGAGTACTAATCACATAGCACTTGCCAGAAATTGTTTGTGCTTCGTAAAACATGTTTTTACGTAAGTAATATGTATGTGTACAAGTTTTAGGCCACCAAATTATAGTGAAAGTTTGAAGCAAAGTACAACTGCTTGCCCTACTTCTCCACATTGACCCCCCTCTCCCCAGATGCAGCCCTCTTTTCATTTTAGCTGTTTCCTTAGAATTTGCACATGTCCATATTTCTATAACATCTTTGTTTGGTTCATCGATCCTAGACAGGTTCTATGAATTTCTTGCATCAGCAATTAAAAATTTCCTCTTAGCCATCCTCTCTGCTGCCCTTGTTCTCAAGCTCTTAATGTAGTGATTTAAAATTTTTTGAATCAGTACTCCTAGATGATGTTAGTTAGCCTATGTAAATAATACTCAGAACCGTGCACTGTAAGTATACTGTAATATTTTCTGTTTCCTTGTCAAAATTAGTAACTGCCTTTTTTCTTTCATTTAATAATTTCTACCTTTTCCATTGGATCTTCCCAGACCATCCAATAATCTGCCAGTAGGATTGTACACAAGGTCACCAATGTCAAGTCACCTGCTGTGCCCATAATTTCCATGCAGCCATCCAGCCTGGGGACCAGTGGCCTCCAGTGACCTGTGAAGCTCACTAGCTTTTATGCCCAGCTCCCAGCACTGCCACCTTAGAAATGCCATTGTCTGGAATGGAAGTTCCATTTCTTTCATGCGCTGGATGCTCTATTCCTTCTTCCTCTCTCTGTTATCTGTGGGGCACGTCTTCTACCACACAAAAGTGACCACCAAAGTTTGATGCCGGGAGGTGTGACCATAACAGAGACCTGGATGTGTCTGTCGTGGGAGTCCAGCCGTCAGTATGGTTCCGGGGCCGGGCACTTCAGTTCTCATTCTGGTGTCCTTATTACCATTCTGGTTCTTTGTCCTTTAGTGGGTTAATCCTTGTTTTCTTCTTGTTTTTGTGGAACAACTCTCCAAAAGCATAGTGGTCATAGGAAAACACGGGGCCTATTTTGTTTTCATGTGTTGTATTTGATCATCATATCTATTTCATTGTTTGGCTGAGTGTAGAATTCTATGCTGAAATTGATTTTCCATTAGTACTTGGCAGACAATATGCATACTCCTTTTGTTTTTGAGAAGTCTGAATTCAATCTAATCCCTGACCTTTTGTATGGAACTTACTTTTTTTCTCCCACTCTGAAGGACTGTAGAACACTTGCCTCTAGAATTCTACCATTTTACAATGTTGAGTCTTTGGTATAACCTGTATGCAACCGCTGTGCAGTTTCCTTGTTGAGCCTGTTCAATCTGGGATCTGTGTCTTGGAAATTCAGTGAAATTTCCTTTAATTATTTCACTGAAGATCAATGCCTCCCTCCTAATGTGGTTGTGGTTCTTGCTCATTATACTAGAAGTCCTTGTACTCCAATGTCGGATCTTTCCTTTGTCTTCCATTGTTTTGTTTTGCATTACTTTCAGGAAGAAATCCTCAACTTTAAATCAACTCCTCTTTAAATTCTAAATTTCTCATACTTTGTTTTAAAATTTACTAAGATTCTTTTCACAGTATTTTGTTCTTTTAAAAGACATTAGCTTATATTTATTTAATGTCATCTCCCTGCCCACTGTGTGTCAGCACGAAGTTGCTTTTTCTCCTCTTTGTTTTCATCTCTTTCCTCCAGAGTAGGATAGTTCTATATAACTCGTGTTAAACAGTAGGAGATTCAAAGGTTTACCCATAGCTCTAAGCCCTGGTTGGGAGTTGTTGGTTTTGAGTGTCATTAGGCTACTCGGGGCGGGGGGTACTTCCCAATATCGCGGTCCCCAGGTATCCTCTCACCTACTGGAAAAAGCTCCGGGCAAGGATTTAGGTCTCCTGCCCAGAGACAGGGGCCTGCCTGCCATATTCTGGAGACGCACAGTAAGAGGGCTGGGAGCCTCAGAATTTAGGGTTCAGAGCACACTGTTCATTGGGCCCTCCTATATTTAATATGTTATGTGTGATAGCCTGTGCCCTAGAAACCATCTGTTTTACCCTCCCCAGACTCCTGCAAAGAATGGGGGAGCAGAAGTTGTCTCGCAATGTGAATTGAAGGAGGAAATCATATGCTAACATTGCTTCTTGGACAGTTCTCCACCCAGTTTCCCCCTCTCCACCTCCTCAGCCCCTGTCCTAGAAACAGCCAGCCATATCCTGAGTTGTCAAAGGACTGGGGGTGTAGATGGGGTGGTTCCCACTTGACCTTGGCGGGTGCCGTTGATCACCTTTGTAGCTTCAATTTTCGTTGTTCTTGTCTCCGGTCCTCGTTTTCATGTCTGGATGGATTCCGGCATTTTAAATATATGTGTTGTCATCTGATGGGGTCCGATGAGTTCCCTAAACGGGGTGATGGAGGAGAGAGACCTCAGTGTAGCCCCACCCATGGAGTAGGCGCTTGACTTGTTACGGAAAAGGTCAGGAGAATTCGTGTGAGGGAATGTATTAGGGCAGAAAGAAGTACAGTCAGAAGGGTCTGTGAGTGTGTGGATGGCGAGGCTCATTATGGTCTGGGGCTGGGGATATTTGTGTGTTCGTGTGGTTGGTCATTCATGGAATCTGAGAACCTATAGAAAGTACTGTAAATCTATACAGACTCAGTTTATAGGTGAAAGACAGTGGCCTGTTTTACATTTGAAAGTCAAGGGATGGCCCATTTATTGTATCTTTAAGACTCTGATTTTTTTTTTAGGGTTCAGGCAGAGAAAATAAATATATTATAACCTTGACTAACTTTGATTGTGCCCTGAACATGCAGCTTTCCTTGTTTTCTTTCTACCTATCATTATTTCTTCTCTCCTATTGCATGCACCACTATAGGTGTCCATTGAAAACAAAATTGTATGTGTGCTGAACCTGCCACCTTTATCCAGAGTCCTACACAGACTTCCTCTGTTATTCTCTGTGGCAGCCCTCCAGTGGTTTCCTGTAGGACTTTCTGCACAATTTGAATTTTAACATGCACTTACTTGTTTGTCCTCCTCGGCTCCAGTAGGAGGTGTCCCATCAGTAGGAATCCTGTCTGTACTTTTCAAACGATGCCCGCCCCCCAATCTGCCATGGGGATTTTTCCATTGCAGCCATTGACTACTCAGGGAGAATGTGATCACAGCACTGAATTCACCAGGCACTCACTGGGGCCCAGCTCTCACTTCCTGAATTCATTTCATCACTGCGCTCTCTTTTGAGATGAAGGAATAAACAGAGAGTGGCTCAGGAGGTGTTCAAGTCCCACAAGTGACAGAACTGTGGTCTCAGCACAGATGGCGTGGCCCCAGACCCCGTGGCTTCACCAGCGATGGACAAATCTTTTTAAACAAGCGAATAATCCCCAGCTCATCGCTTTAGGGTGAAACTGTTGCTATTCCCTTTACCCAGACGAGGATCCTGAGATTCAATACCATGACTAGCTTGGCTAGGGTAGCTTTGCGAGTAAGTGGGACACAAGGAATTCCAGCCCTATCACTCTCAGACCCCCTGTTCTAATGCCACAGTGACAGCAGCTGCTCAAAACAGCTGTGTATAAATATTTATTACAACCTGAAGCTAAGGGCTATCCAAGAGCCACAACCCACAGCAACAGATGGCCATTTTAGCAATTTAAACAAGCACGTTTACTCTAAATACTATCCACTCTATTTATTTAGTTAGGACCTTCTGGTTTAAATATAGATAAAAGCACTTACATTTACTGGCTGAAATAAATGTAAGACACTTGGAGAACATACTCACACACAGAGACACACAAACATTTGCACCACCAAGCAAAAGGAATAAAAGCTCAGCTTTGACCACAGAATGTAACACGACTTTGTCGTAACCACATTTGTGCTCTGGAGTCAGACCGCCAGGCTTGAGTCCTGGCTTACTCATTAGATGCCACTTAACTCCCTATTTATAGTTTAAGTTCTTTATAAAGTGGAGGCTAAAACAGTCTCTTTTTAAAAGTGTGATGGAAAATTAAATGGTAGCAAGTAGACATATGGCTCCGTGGAAAGTATTCAATAAATATTAGCGATGGTAACTATACAGTGTTATTGTATAGCTCAAAGCTCATTTTTCCTTATATTTGTCAGAAATGGCATCTCTATTTCATATATCCTTATAAACACAGATACAAATAGCCACATACCTCCAATTCATGAATAAAGCTTTTTGTTGCTTGCGCCAAAGGCCCCACTAATAAGAAGCCTGTCAACACATCGGTTTGTTTTGCTCTACTTCTCTACTTTTGCCCTTCTGCTGAGGCTCCACACCTGAAGGTACCTTCCAGGGAGAAATATTTAGGACAACAGTAGCGTCCTACCTTTGTGTTAGAGAAACAACACCCTTACCTACACAGCACTCTCCTCACAAACCAATTTTACAGAACACAGCAATCCAGGTTCATGAATAAATCATACGATGGAAAAACATGTTTCAGAAATATTGCCAATAGCTACAGACTATGGAATTAACCAACAGGACCTGACTCGCGCACAGTGAAGAGGGGGCGCAGTTCTGCCCCCCGGCAGCCGTCTTTCTCTAGTGGATCAACTGCTGCCCCCTTGTGGTCAGAAAAGGTAACGATGCAGTTACCTATTGAATATACACGTGTAGGAAGTGATGGTATTTGTTACCCTACGTGCTTTTGAAAATTCATCAAATGCACACAAAATGGCAGATGTTCCACTGTTTGTTATGAAGAATTCCATTTCAGATTTTTGAAAAGTTAAAGGAAAAATATATCTCTAGACACAGTCATCCATACTGATCTTTGAACTTAAGAGTTATTAGTGTCTTCGGTTATTCCTCGGGTCTCCCCTGAAGAGGAGATGGGATGTCAGACAAGCGGGACTGCAGAAACCCTCATGACCCACTTTCACCGCTACGTGGTTAATGGAGTGGATTTAAAATTAGTGCTTTGCAGAGATACACAAGCCTGCCTATATTCCCTGAGAGTCATTTGTTAGAGTATCGTAGCAATGACCTCTCAGGGTGAAAAGCCTACCTCTCAGCCTTCTGGGAGAGAAGACAGGGAATTTCTAAGTCCACCAGGTGTCAGAGTGGCTGTCTAGGATGTGTCCCGGATCACAGTCTTCAAATATACATGTGGGAAAACTGTAGTTTCATCTTTTGTATTATTGTGGTGAGTGTTCTTCAAAATGAATGTTACATGGTCATATACTGCTGATTATTTACGTTTCATTAGACTGAGATGATTTGCCAAGCTTGTGCAGAGACCCTGCCTAAAGGGCAGTCAGTCACAGGTATTGTAATGTTGTTACCTGGCGTGGCACACCCACGAGCACTGGAGAACCCGAGCTCTGTGCAGGGGGAGGAAGACACCAGGCTGACTGTTCGGAAGAGCAGTGCAGGTCCATCCCTCCTTCTCCCTCCATTTCTAGCTGTCCTAGGAGACCCTGACGGCCGCCCCTCTCCCAGGGATACGGGCTGAGTGGGGCTGTGGGAAGCACTGTGGGGTTCCGAGTCCGTCACCCCAAACTCACGAACTCTGTGTAGGCAGCTGCAGGATTCACTCGTGTTTTATTTAAAACCATCGACATTTTCACCATAGGGCACCTCATGTCAGAGGAGGTGCCGCACGGGGGAAAGAACGTAAGTCAATGTGATGACCAGCTTTGCAGGCGTCAGTTTTTAAATGTCTAATTGGGCAATGTGTGTAAATATGTAATAATGCAAACTACAAATGTAAGGCATATTCTAGTAACCTACATTAATCTTGCTAGATCCTAATACGAAATAAACCAGCAAATTGGTGAAAGAGTTACCAGCTATTTGACTTGCCTTAGTAAAGGCTGGTTGTTTAGGAATATTAATAAATGATAGGGACGTGCAGCCTTTCAGTCTTTTGAGTTTGGCTTTTATTTTATATGCAGCTTTATTTAGGGGGCCGATAGCTACTGAACCCAGGGCATTTTGACTAAGCTGCTAAATCACCCAAGCTAGACTCCAAACTTGCGATGCTCTTCTCCAAGCCTCCCAGAGTACCGGGATCACACGTATGCACCATCACCCAGGCCAGCCAAGAAATCTGTACATGAAGAACAAACAGTAGGTAGAAAGAAAGAGACCTTTGGAAACTTGAGTAAAAACCTAAAGAAACTGTTAAAAAATGGACACACCTCTTTTTACATAAATGTTTCACATGTATTTGTCTTTCTAAAGCTACTTGGTTTATTATATAAATATTAGCTTAATAATGTATCAGAGAAGGCCAGGGATTTAGCTCAGTGGTGCTGCTGCCTGTCTCACAAGTGCAAGGACCAGAGATCAATCCCCAGACCCCCCGCAAATGTGTGTGTGTATATATATATATATATATATATATATATATATATATATATATCAGAGAGGGCTATATGGATGATGTGTTTTGTAGATGATACTCAAGGCAGATAAATCTCCTGCTAGGCACCATGGTACCAAAGAGAGAAAATTCATAAAGGCCCAAGAGCAAAATGGCTCATAATGGCTTATATTCATTAGTGCAATGGCAAGACTGCCCATCTCGAGCTTGGCCCAGTGAAAGAAAGTGCATTGCCTTTCCTTCAGTTATAGTGAAGTTTAAAGGCACTAAGTGAAGCAACAAAGAAATTCTAGAAATTAAGAACACAATAGAATCATTTTTATGAAATAAAAATTCCAATAACAATTATAAAAAGATCTAATGGGTGAACTGCTCAGTCATTGTGTACAGAGTATACGAAATTGGTGAGAAAGTATTTCTTTCCAAATCCTGCGTAATGGAGAAAGGGGTGAGATCCATAGAGAATCCGATGTGAATCTCCATGCCGTCGTGAATACGAAGGAATAAAACCACACATGTAGCTACTTCTACTCCTTTCTGAACTCATGTGGGAGAAGAAAGATGAGAGATCTTCTTTCTCTTCTAATCATAACATTTATTTTTCTTCTGTTTGAAAAGTGATGTTAAAGTACGGTTTTCTCTCTCTTGTAGAATGAAATGTTTAACAAGCTGCTCACACGCGAGGCCCCTCACCTTCTGCAAAGCTTGGGGACATATTTAGGGGACAAAGAGTGGTTTATTGGCAACTCTGTGAGTATGACTGATATCTTTAAAAATACCAGCACATATTTACATAAAAGGATAAACCAAAAATTCATCTAAAGAAACTGTTACTCATGGAGAGAGGGAATGGGTTACAGAGCAGAAATGAAATCTAAATTACTTTATATTAAAATGTTTGGAATCATGAAATATTTTATATTATTCTACAACAATGGCAAATTTTGAGTAAATGCATAGACTAGTGCACAGAATTTGTATTCTACTCTATTAGTAAAAAGTTAGTGAAGAAATATGACTTTGTAAAACTGTAATTTGATTAGACATCTAAATAAGGTTATTCTCTCAGAACAGAAAGTAAAAATCATGCACCATATTGAATAATGTTTGGTAGTACTAGACACCGGTAGTAGTGAGTATTGCTTTACAGATATTATTATATCTATATTGTGGGTGCACAGGTAAGAAATTATTAGTATTTTGAGAACTAGGATCTTCAGTGAGAAAGAAAGGGAGACAGACATGTAAACACCAGTGAGAGTGAGTGAACATCGTATTTCTGTATTTGAAATACAGGTAACAATATAAGGTTATGGTGTTCTTAGGAATGAAACACTGTTTCTTGGGAAATAACGGACAAGCCTGGCATTCCCAAGCCCCCCTTATCCCCAGAGTCTGGTTTTTTATATACTAAAAGGAGCCAGAGCTTCTTGGGGAAATGGCTTATTTTAAATTTTGGACAGAAAATATAAAAAATGAGCTGGGAGTTCCTTGTCATAGTAGAAGCAAAGAACTTACCAAGGACAGCTGGACTTCTGCCAAAGAAACTTTGACCTGAACGGGAAAGCTCTCTGTCAGCCAAAGGTGGGGAACGATTCTATTAGTAAGGAACAAATCAAACTGAACAAGTGCAGGAGTTTATGAAAACCACTAACACCACGGCCAGCATGCATGAACACACGCAGACACGCCCAGACAGACGGACACAAACAGATATATCAACCTCTCTCGATTCATTTTAGAAGCTGTCATAGAGCTGTTGCTGTGAAAATTATTACAAACAAACAAAACTGCAGAAAGTTGTAAATAACGCATTTCTCTGCCCTTCCTACAAGAACACACTCGAGGTAACAAGCTCACAGGGCTTCAGCTAGGAGACAGCGTGCAGAGGCTTTCTTGGGGCGCTGTTGACCTCTGGTCACGGTCTGTCTGCTTTGGGCCTTTGGGTGACACAGAAGCAAATGTCCACAGCTTTACTTTCGACTCCTAGCCAGCTTTTGCACTTTCCCTGCTGTCCCCATCTGTTTCCCCAAAACTTCCCTCTTCTCACACTGTGTGCTGAGGATTTCCAAGGATTTAACTCTGTAACTGAAATTCCTCATGCACTGTTTCCCAGCCCGTCCCGAGGCACTCGCACTTCCTGAAGTTCCAACACAGGGGCGAGTGCTCCTTGCACACACGTCACATGTGCACCTCAGAGCCTGCACACGCTGGGCTCCCTCTGCACAGCGCGCGTCACCCCCAGATTACTGTTGTCTGGACCCTTCTGTCAGCTCTGAAAGGGCCGTGCTGCCTGCTTGATGGTCCCTGCACTTTTTCTTCCTCACTGTTGTCTTGCTCTACGATACAAGCCATGGTGCAGAAAGAGCCAGCATCACGGCTTCCTTGTCTGTCAATGCCCAGCAGGCAGACCTGGCCTTGGCATGTAGTAGGTGCTCAATAAATCATCTCACATCTGACCTCTGAGTCCTCCAGTAGCATCTCTTGGCCCACAGATGTTTAGTGAGAAAGTTTATGAAACACTAGCAACGAGCTTCTTAATCCCACACAGCTAAGAACTGCCCACATGGAAGCCTCATTTCTGACTAATATTTACATGGAAGCAAAGTATCATTATGCAAATTACTCTCTGATCACACAGGCAAAATGCCCAGGTGTACAAGGGCGGGGCCAAGCCATCCTCACCTGATCTGGGGCCAATCCTAGCATTCTCCTAATGACCAAACATCTATATGTTATTTCTCCAGACCTGATACAGGGCAATGTATTTTAACCACAAATGTTTCCCTGGAAAATATAGAGCAGTGGTGACCGAGCCGTGGCACGTGTGCTGCAGCAGGGTATTTGTATCACTGAGCACTCTAAAGGGTTCACCATCACTGGTTCAGAGTCTCCAGGAGTAATTTACACACTTCCCATTTATACTTTAAAATATGAAGGGCCAAGATAAACAGCAAGATGAAGTTATCCCAGGTCTCACTGTGGGCATTCTGTAGGGTGAGTAAGGAATGGTCAGTCCTTTGGCCCCGTGAGAGAAGGGAACGGTTCTGAATTACGAGAGCAGAAGGGCATAGCAGATGAAACACACACAGAGCTTTGTCCTGTGGAGGACAATTTTGTAACAGATGGGAAAAGTGTGGATTAAGTAGGATGAGAATGTCAGAGAGGTGGAGATCGGACCAGGTTACACAACAGCATGGACTGCAGGGATCTCCTATTAGTACAGCTGCATCTACTTACCCATCTGTGTGGAAAAGTCCTTGTCACCTCAAGCACTAATGGGGAGCCTGTCACTTGGGGTTGACGGTAGGGTTGTGCTGTTCATCCGTCATTTTCCAGGTTTCTATTAGGTACACATTCGGTATTCGTAATGACAAAATCTATTTTGAATTTCAGAATGATCTCTTAGATTCAGGAATTCAGTTTATATTTTTATAATGATGAAGTTATACCTTTTATGTTCATATGGAAAGCAATTTTTTTTCCTGTTGCTTGAGCAGGTGACTTGGGCAGATTTCTACTGGGACATCTGCAGCACCACGCTTCTGGTCCTTAAACCTGACTTGCTGGACAGTCACCCCAGCCTGCAGACTTTGCGCAAGAAGGTCCAAGCCATCCCTGCCATCGCTGCCTGGATACAGCAGAGACCTCAGACCAGACTCTAGCAGACACACGAACCTCGGCTTCGCCAGTCACGGCCTCCGCTCCCTCCGGACACCAGCTGGCCAGCTGCCTCCGTGATCCTCCTCACACCCCCACTCCCTCCACCAGGACTCCCACTGTTGCCATATTCTGCATTAAAAAGTCGTATTTGGTCTCCATTCTCCTTCCTTCTAAAGAAAGGTTTTTCATTCTTGATGTTTGGTTGTTGTTGCTGTCCGAAACTTTCTCTTGCTGTACAGCACAAACTGGCCTCCAACTCACTTTTAGCCCAGGTGGCTCTTCAGTTCACGAAGACATTGCTTCTTCAGCCACCCCAGTGTTGAGATTACAGGCGTCCTTCTGCCCCCACACCTGGAGAATTTCACACCGCTCATGACAGGAAAAGTAGTTCCCATGTGGAATTTGCCTGCCCCACTCGGAACACGCGCAGATGCTTAGTTCAGTAACATCTGTTGCTGCCCCCAAATGGGGTAGATCTATTTCAGTTACCACCGCATAGCAACCATGAGTAATCAAGTGATGTGCAAACTTTGCTGACAGCTCCTTAAACTGCACTTCTCTACGTTCAGAACGTGAACATAATGCACAGTGATGATTGCTGTCCGTGATCTGCAGAGAACAATCCAGTGGCTCTGGTGCCTGGCACTATAAAGACCCCAAGGAGCTAGGCAGAGAGCCCTGCTCTTACGACTGCAGCCCCAACACTTCTAAATCAAAGCTGCTTTCACTGAGCAGCCGCTGGGCTGGGGTGTGAGCACTGCACAGGTGTGCCCATGTTTTCCTTACTGTCCCCATAGGACAGGGTTTCTGTCACGTTTGTTCATTGAGCACCTGCAGGAATAAAGTGAAACTGCCGAGCACATAGGAGGAACCCGCTGACGGTGGTGGTTACTATTGCTCTGCCGGTGACCGGGGTCGGGGGAGTCAGAAAGACAGCACATCTGGGTCCCACACTTCTAACCACTGTCCTGCTGCCGCCGCCATAGCTGGCCATCAGGGTAGACCCGGACACTAGGCATCCTGCCTAGGAGTCTAGACCCATGCAGCCTCTGGCCCCTGAGTGGTGGCTGTAGGGACAGACCGAGGGGAGGCCTCAGGAGTGCTCACAAGAGGCCGATGCAGTCAGTGTTCAGCAAGTGTTCTCACCGAGCGTATGACTGCTGTGATTTGTAGTTTACCGTTTTGTATCAGAATCACTGTCTGATGGATGGCACCAGCAAGAGAGCAGGACCCTGTGCTGTAAGAAAACAGGCCCGCTGCTGAGGCAATGTCTGTTGGGCAAGTGCCTTTACGTAGAGTTCCTGTTCCTTTCGAGGACACTCTGACCTTGAGTGTTCTCTGGAATCGCACCACAGCGATGCCATTCTGCCTTGCTGATCCTGGAGCTCACCTGTGAGCAGGGTGGTGCATCTTCGCTGCGGAGCACTGACCATGAGCGAGGGTGGCCAGCCAGCGGGGAGGTTTGGCCTTGTGGAAGCTGCTCTTTGTCCCATCTCTAGCTGTGAAGAAACCTGCACATGCCGTGTTGCGCTGCCTTAACTGTGGGTTACCAAGTACTTAGCCAAGGTCCTCAGGCACACTGTCCCTCTGAACTGTGGCCCTGGCCTTTGAGCTCCTCTGTGCCTTTCTGGGCACTCGCTCTCCAGGGAAGGAGCAGGAGGTTGGAGCAGATCTGGGCTCCACCCAACCTCCTATTCCCCTGAAGGCACCCAGCGCGAAGCTGGGAGGTGGAGATGAGTCCCCCAGCTCAGAAGTCCCCTCCATCCTCTCTGCTGGACCACATCACTGTCCACCCTGGGATGAGGAGGAGATGGGCCAAGGCAGCAAAGCTAAAGAGCACAGCGATGAGGGACTACAGAACCACCCTTGGAAAGGGGGACCTAGAGCCAAGCACACAACCCTCCTCAGCCTCGGTCCCTTCGCAGAGCAGCTGACATCACAACACTGAAGATGCCGAGGCTGTGACTACCCTCAGGAAGCTGGGGACAGGTGTCCCCCAGTTGCCTGGAAGAGAAGGGAAAAGGCAAAAGTGCTCACAAGGCACTAAGGGGGAAGAAGATGGAGGCAAGTGTTTGATAATAGGGATTATTTACTGGGTGATAAACTATTTTCTATGCTAGAAAGAAAGAAAAATAAAGAAAGAAAGAAAGAGAAAGAAAGAAAACTGGAGATCAAACCCAGCTTTGGCACTGAGCTACATCTCCAGTCCTTCTCCTCCTCCTCCCCCTCCTCCTTCTTCTTCCTCTTCCTCCTCTTCCTCTTCCTTTCTTCCTCCTCCTCCTCCTTCTCCTCCTTTTAAATGAGGCAGGGTCTCCTGAAGGTGCTAGTTCATCCATGCTGGGCTCCAACCTGTGATCCTTCTGCCTCAGCCTCCCAGAGTGCTGGGATTACAGATGTGCTCCACTATGCCCATCTGGGAAAGTGGTTGTTAACCAAAAAAGCTTTACAGGTCCCAAGGAATTACATTAGTAAAATGAAGCAAAACAAAACAACTTCACATTAAAAGAACAGAGATCAAGAGAATGAGAAGATGAGCCACAGACTTGGGGAAAAACATGCAAAATATGTATCGGATAAAGAACTGTTACTGAAAATATACAAATATCTGGGAATACTCAAGAATAAGAAAATGGGCCGGGGATTTAGCTCAGCAGTTTGGTGGCCAGCCTTGCAAGTGCAAGGACCCGAGTTCATTCCCCCGTACAAAAAAAAAGAATGAGAAAATGAATAACCTGATTAAATATCGGCAAGGATTTGAAAAGACAGATGCCTTACCAAAAAAATTGACTGATGGCAACAAGCATATGAAGAAATGGCCTCCATAATTGTATTAGGAAGTTGCAGGTTAGGATGAAATTCTAATACGTGCCCATTAGAATGTTGAAAAATCCAAAAGACACGAAACTCTACTGAAAATGGGGAGCCACAGGAGCTGTAGTTCATTACCACTGAGAGCATCCTCTCTGTCTGCACACCCAGGGCTGTGGCAAACACCCACGCTGAGGTGTGCCCTTGTCACCTTGGTAGGCAGGGAAAGCAATCAGACCACTGAGTTGGACACAGGCAGTGCATCGGGTGTTGAAGCAGACTGATGGCCCTCTTGCCAGGACTTTCAAGCCCAGCTGCCTCTGAAAGCCACAATGCTGGACTTAGCTTCTCACCACGGAGGCCAGGGCCAGTGTACTTCCCAGCCTGAGCAGAAACTTCTCAGGGGTCTCTGTGTGGCCTTTTCCCTCTCCATGACTTTGTCTGTGGCTGTCTCTGACCCAGTCACTGTGGCATGGTGACACCAGAAACTCTGAAGCCAAGTTGTTCTGTGGCTCAGTCTTAAACAGTTAAACGCTTCCCCGATACTGCCCTATGAGATCTCCTCCAGTATCCCAGGCACTGCATTGGATTTCTTCTCCAACTCTTATCAGAGGTGGATTTCCTCTGACTGCCGAGAAAGGGGGACATCACCAAGGGCTAAAGAAGAAAAGACAATAGAGACTTTGGTAATTTCAAAGTAGCCAGGAGGACAGTGCTTCCAAGTGGGCAAAGACAAAGACTGTCCAAGCTAGCCATTATCTATTGGGTATGCACAATAGCTGGAGAGAGTATCAGGTGGCTTAGGGGATAGTGGCAATCTTAGATCTGATTCTGTGAAGATTTCATGCCGATGAGGGCAGAAAGGAGAGCATTCCCACACGGTAAGTAGGTGGGATGAGCAGAGTTGATGAGGGACTCTTCCCTCCAAGGTGAAACCTTTCTCTTATGTATTACTACTGGGTTCTAAAGGAACCAGGATGTTCTCAGCTAATGCAATCTTTTGAGCACCACAGTGTCACAGACCACTGAGGCCCCAGCTGTGACCAGAGGCAAAGCGGAGTTATGTTTCTGCACATCATAGCCAGCCCATGGACAAGGCAACACTGGGCCTTAGACAGCTGTAGTTATACTTTAATTATGAAATGATTTTCCCAAAAAACTTATGTAGGAATGCTCCCGACAAAGTATCCTGCCATATGGAAGGAGTCACTTTCAGTGTGAAACCCCACACTGGTTTTACAAAGCAGAGGTTTACATAGCTGTGGGCTCTTCTGGGGGCTGGTGCTGCTGGTTCTATCTGTCGTCTCTCCCTGCGCTGCAGCACCTCCAGGCTTACCTGTTCTCCCTGGGCATTGTCTCTTCCCTCAGGTTGGTTGGTCTTCTGGTACCTCTACTGCCCAGTGCTGAGGGGAAACAGTGCAGAGTGGATTTATTGTATTTTGCATTTCACCTTAAGGTTATGTATTTTTCCATAGTAGATGTTAGAAATTAATGTTTTTTCTTCCTTCCTTCCTTCCTGCATGCCTTATTTCCTTCCTTCCTACTTTCCTCCTCCTTCTTGTTTCTTTGTTTCATGATATAACACACTTCAACTGGATGTTGTGCCTTGGTCGCACTGTCTTATCACTTGGTCTGCGAATGCATTTCTGAGGCCCACATCTCTCTGTGGAAGATGTTAGGAACCTATGTAGGAACTAAAACCCTTGGCTAATGTAAAATGTAGACTTAATCCTGTCACGGGGAAGGTGACCTCTGTACACACACTTCTAACACTGCCACGTATATATAAATTTCACTCCACGGTCTTGCCTAGGTATGGGTTTTCTTTCTTGGATGCTTCATTTCATCTGTTGCTTTGCATTCATGGCCACATTAATGAAAACCCTAATAAACGTCAGGGTTGAGTTCCTGTTTTCTGGTTATTTTGGACTGGAAATTCAGGTGATGAGATCTTCCTTGTCAGGAGACTTGACATTCTTGCGAAGTCTGAGCAGATCACCTTGACAGACCCCAGGCTGGTGTATTTTTGTCTGCTCAGTTCCCAGGCCATGATAAGGCTGCAAGAGGAAATTGTATCTCCCTCGCAGAGACTGCTAAATATTGTCTCAGAAATCTTAGAGGCTTCAAGAACTTGACCCTTCTTGAAAGGGCTGGGGATTTAGCTCAGTGGCTCCCTGACTGCCTCGCAAGCACAAGGTCCTAAGATTGATCCCCAGTACTAGAAAAACATTTGAAAAAAGAAAAAGACATTGCCTCTAACAGAATGTTTCTGCCCAGTTTTCTTGATTGTTGCCCCAGACCTGTTTGGCTGTGAATACCAGGAGAGGA